CACACACACACACACACACACACACACACACACACACACACACACACCAACCTCGGCTTTCCCTTCCTGGCATTTACACTTAGAGGTGCAGGTGTTATCACCCCAGAAAGTGGTGGCTGGTGGGTAATATTTGCCTCCATTCTTACATCCACAGCTATGCACAGGAACACATCTGAAACAAACACACACAATTATTAAATGAACAGTACGTACACATGAAACCTTGCCTGTATTCTTGTCTTCTATGGCTTAGTGTTGCTAATTAGCACACTTGGTGTCCACAAATATTTCAGGTATACTTTTACTGAAATGTTATTGTTGATATCAGGCAGGTTGTTCTCCTGAGTAGACTAACAAGCCGTGTTTTATTGTGAAGCATTAACACCCGGAGTCCTTGAAATGTCACATGAGCGTTATTTTCTGTACAACTTTTGCAGTTTTTAAACGTATGCTTAACGTTGTGAACAACACAAAGTGCATCACATGGTTAGGTTTAGTAAAAATACACAGTTTGACTTCAAATAAGTACGTTTGTTAGGTTATTTAAGCTAAGTCCTGTGTTGTTAGAAATGCATTTGTATAAAACAAATGTAATCAGGGAGAAAATACATTTCCCTCAAACCGCAAGTGACAATGCAATTAAGTTGTATGTGAGCGTAATTTTTGGGAGGCCAGCCTCCTTCTGGCTGGTTTCCAAAGAACAAGAAGACATTTTAGGTTATGTCAAGATCACAAAGAGCCTGTTTCTTTTGGAAAGGCCTGTTTTGGTTAATCAATGAATAGATTATGATGACTCAAAACTACTCAAACCAATGAATATTGGTCTTGGTATGAATATTGAATAGCATAACATAACCTGGCAAAATGTTGTCATTCATGCATACAATCCACCAAATATAAAATAACTAAAGACTGTCTGTGTGTTACCTGTCTCCACTTTGCACCATTCCTTCATCACACTGGCACCCCTCCACACAGGAGCCTTTGCACAGCTTGTTGATGTCTGGGGACACGCAGGTGGCAGGGCAGGGGGTACCACACGCCTCATAATGGCTACCTTTGGGGCAATTAGGTACTGGGGGGGGGGGGTTGGAGATCATTGTTCTTATCTGTGAGAACCAATACTCTGTCTAAACCAATAACACATCACCGAACAATTATTTAACAATGTCAATATTTGTAACAGATTTTTAGTGATAAGAACACTTTAATTATTCAACAGAAACATTATCATTGCGACACAAAAGCCCGATTTGAAAGACCCCATTTCCTCCAGCACCAACCTCAGGTAAAATATAACTTTCTGTATAGGTGTCATACTTCAATATTTTCAGATAATGTCTTGAGGTAAATATTTGATTGTCTGGGGGCTGACGGATCTAAGCCATCACCATCCTTTTTGATATGAAGTGCCATTTTTAAATGTTCTTTTTAATCTGTGTGCCATGTTAACATTTAGATTAACATTAATTGTATTCATGACACCACATCAAAATTTGTATCTCCATTTCTTCTTTCATCCATATAGGCAACATGCAGTCACTCACTCCTTTTGCTGTAGCTTTCCACTGCCACACTCCGCTAGAACCTCACTGAATGGTTCATGATAAATTAAAGCACTTCAAAGGAAAAATATTTTGCTTGGCAACTTACGGCATTTGGTAATCATTCTCCACTGAGGGTCAACTTTCACGTCCTCTGACAGGCAGTCATCAGCATAACTCTTCAGGTTTTCACAGAGAGTCTGTTTGGCACCTGGACAAACACACAGACACATTAACATCACAGGAACTCATGACAACATGACAGCATGGCTTCAATCAATTTGCATTTCCTCCAGTTTTTCATGTTATATTTTTAGTGTGCATTCTGCATTCTTCAAATATTGTCTCACCTTTAGTGGTACAGACATCGTAGACACAGTTCTCCAGGTACATGGAGGGTTCGACCTTATCGTAGCAGGCTGAAAATGGCCCATCTGACTTTGACAGAATCCCACAGAGGTGGGGCTTGCTGTAGTGGGCTTGCATCTCTTTTGTACAAATGGGACAGTGCCCGGCACAGTTATCATTACAGAACCGATCGGATTCATCGGACTTCCACTTCTGGATCATCTTCAGCACAGCAGAGAGACTGGCGCCTGCAAGAAAACAGAAAGCAACATGCAGAAAAGCATGTAAATAAATTCAAATTTAGACTTCCGGGTGAGTGAGCAATTTAATGACTGGCGTTCAGCCAAACTCAGAACTTTGGATCTAAATTATTTTGGCATAATGTCTTTTAAAGGTTTTCAATGCGATATTCAGAGCATCAATATAACATCAAACCACTTCATTATCTATGTAAAGATATAGTGATTATCTGTCTGATTAACTGTAACTTAACTTAACTTAACTACTTAATGACTATAGTTTTACAATACTGTATTACACAAACTTTATGTAAACCAACGTGAAGGCCATATGTGTGGGTGGGTCTGTGGGTGGGTATTTTGATTTAATTTTTTTTTTTTTTAATCTTATCTTATTTTACTTTATTTATTTCCGTTTGTTTGCTTTACTTTCCTGTTCTTTTGTTCTTTACTATTGTAAACTCACTAACACATACACAAAAAATGAAAATACTTTTTTCTTGTATGTCATATTGTGCATTCTCATCAATAAAGTATATATATAAAAAAATAAAAATAAAAAGATATAGTGGTATATATATTAATGTCTACCTGAGTAGAGAATGAAGTCACTCTATCTCTGTGTGAGTTGTAAAATTAGTTTCTCCTTGCTTTGTTTACATAGCCGGGCCGGCCATGCGTGCTGTTAGTGCATGTTAGTGCATATGAGCTTGCCCCACTGGCTAGCTCATGGCCGGCACTAGGTTACAACTAATAATGCCGTCGCGGAGGCATGATGTTCATTGAGTAGATTATGTTCTCATTTAAATTAAAGTAAGGCGTGGCTACCTTGTGATTGACAGGTCTGCGTTGTCCAGTCTGGGAGCTGTACGAGTTTTTGTCCTTGAACTTTAACCCTTTCAGTGTGTTTTCAGTTTACGAAAGCTTATTGTAACATAAATACTCCTCATTTAGCGTTCGGTTGTACTCAAAAAAACAAGATGGCGGTGGGCAAAAAACAAGTTGATACGGCGAAAAACCATGATGGCAACTGCCAAAAACCAAGTGGTTAATGGCCAAAAACCAAGTTGGTGCATCCAAATTCCAGATTGCAACGGACAAAAACCAAGATAGCGACAGCCAAAATGGCAAACCTGAGGTTCCAGTCCACAAACTAATGAATGACGTCCCAGTGACTGCGTCCCCTTTTTATCTACAGTCTATCATGACAGCCAGAGTCTCTTGATGCAGCTCCCTCCATCACTCCCTCCATGCTACCTGGCACTGTTCACCAATTCAACACTTTTCGGAAAGAAAGTGTACTTTCCACCTCTATTAGATATTGGCAATTACATTTCGGCCACATTAGACAACTTGTTGCACCCAACCATCTCTCCTCCTACAGTATTATCCCTTTATGTCCCCGTCCTCACCATTTGGTTCAGGCAGGTCATCGCTCCTGTCTCCATTGTAGTTTCCACAGAGGCCTCCGAGGTGTTGATAGTAGGAAGATGGCACTGTGATGTACAGCCTCACGTTCCAGTCATATTTTACAGTCAGGCCGAAGTCAGTGGTGAGTACAGCGTAGCTTCCACTCTGCTTTACAGAGACCTTGCCGCCCGACAAACATACAGGCAAGTACTGAAGTTCTCCATTCACCTGAAAACAATAACAAAACACTGATTAGAACAAACTGTCTGTAACACTGCATATGATAGATAGATAGATACTTTATTCATTCCCAGGGGGAAATTTGTCAAAAGCATATGCACAATATAATAGAATAGAATTATAGAATATAATATGCACAAAGTTGAAAAGAGAAGAGAAGGCAGACATCACTAGGGCCGATATCTTCAAAACTAGGAAACTCGCATGAAAAGTATCTAGATTGATAAATAGCATTACAAGTAAGAGGAACAATATGTATTTTTAATTTTGGGGAGAACTGTCCCCAAAACAAGTGAAGGATTGTGTAGCAAATGAAACAGACCCTAGTTCGGAGGGTGGCTGGACTTCAGCTCTCTATAGAATCCCATTGACTTTGTGTGTTTAAAATTGCAATAAGAAATTATTATTAAAACAAAAACATTTTATTTGAGCTGTTTCCTTTTCAATATCTAAAATTTCTCGAGCCAGATGTTCTAAAATGCTGATGAAAGTCTTTTGTTGGACACATATTCAATAATCTGACTGAGCAGAACTCTACTAATGAACTCTCCCTTAAATGTGAAAAATCTGACTAATAATTTGTATGAATATGTAGTATAGTTTGTTACTCTCATGAAGATTGCCTTAATATTTGAACATTGATTATTACAGCAGATCTGTTACCTTTACTTGTCCTTTTTGACTGGAGATGATAATGGTGTGCCCGTGAACAGTGACAGTTACGGTCCTCACGTATGCAACTCGAGTGTTACCTCGGTGGTTGTTCGTGGTCATCACAGTGAAAGGCTGAAGGTCAGGTGCTGGCTTTGCAACTGTTGACATAGTGTAAGTGCAGGTACCCTGAAAAAAGATGAATGTGATTGGCCAACTGAAGGAAAGTCCAATTATAA